GCGCATGTATTTTTTCGAGGTCACCGATCCCTTAACATGGCCAGCTATGCTGTCCAGATCTTTGATTAAGTCGAAACACGCTTTCTCAGACTCAGAAGAAGGTTTGACATGCTCGCCTTTGACCATTCTGTTGGCTATATCTTCCGCAACCTGAGGATTTATTGCACGAAGTCTCCTCGCTACGTGTACAAACTTTCCACGCTTGGCCAACAGTTTGCTACCGGTGGCAGCGTCTTTTAATTGTTCGTGGTTGAACGCCACCATGGGAAAGTAAGTGTCCGTCTGGAACCGCTTATCGTGGTACAATAATAAATTTCTTTTTCTTGTCAGATCAGACTGCTTGCGGAAATGCGAAGGATGGCCTATACCGCCCTTACCGTACGGAAAAAGCCATGGGAACATCCCTGGGTAGCTGCTGACTGTGTCGTACATGCTAACGGGTTTTTCGGATTTTCCGATGCCCAGCATTTTACCTCCTCTCATGAGATGCTGAAGAGCAACTGCTTTGATGGTCCTCATGGACGCTTTATCGTATTCCTCGCTTGTCAGACCATGGACCGCGAACGTACATTGACCAGACTTGGTTCCACGCTCTTCGACTTTTTCAAACACGGACGTACTACCCACCGGCACGGAATCAGATATCTCTGTGTTGGTTCTCCTGAAATCAACAACCACAGGAATACCTCTCTCTTCGTAAGACATCAAATTTTCCATCGAGATCTCCAAGTCATGATACCCTTCATGGTTTAGTTTCAGCCATTCCAATGCACATAGCACCTTTTGCCTCCGAACCAGCATGGACGTTCGATCGAATTCTTCAGGTGTTGGATGGGCAGACCCGGTGAACACGAACGCGAGGATTTCGTTCATTTCTTCCTTGCTAGGCGGAAGACGTTTATATATGGACAACACTGGCTGTGTGAACATTATGGCATTGGCACTCATTCTAACCCGTCCAGAATTAACTCGGACAACACACCTATTGTGCCGTACTCGTGCGATCATTATACCTTCTGCATATGTTAATCCTTGAAGTTGCTTGGGGACTTTCCCGACCCAATTGTGACGAGCCAAAGCGGACGGTGGCACGATGTTGTTGATCAGGTAATTTTCACAGTCGATACAAATCTTTGTGCAACCGTCAGCCAAAATAGGACCACTCAACTCTTCAACTGGTTCGCTGACAGAAAATCTTTCTTTGCGAGTGACACCTTCCGTGATTAGAAGGTTGAAATCCCCTTTGAACGCTGACAACGGACTGAGTAGCCGCCTAGATACAAGACAACCACACACAGCGCAGCCATGCTCGACAAAGTTCAGAGGACTTAACCTTCGGCAATGTCTTGTCACAATCGAATGCAACTCACGATCACTCAAAGGTCGGGGAGGAAAGGCAGTGAGCCTTAGACGACCAGTCTGTCTTTTGCGGATGGTCCTCAACTTTTGCCCAATACGTTGGTTTTTCATCTGGTTGGCCCTTGTTGCGGCATCGGATCTTGATTCTACAAGTAACTGGTTATTTTTCTTAGTCTTGGCGCCGCCGCGCGATGTCAGGTCAATAATCTGGGTTGCAGGAGTGGTGCTAGCAAATATACAAACAAGATCAGAACATCTACCGCATTCATGGTCGTCAAACATGGCCTTGACGTCCGGCGCCGAAATTCTGGCAGGGATACGCATTTCGTGAAGCTTGGCTAATTTCAGAAGTTCTTCTTTAGTCAATTGGGAAGCTATTGAGCGCACGGGTACACCACACGAAATACAATCACTGTTACGATTCAAAATGCCTGGAGCTTCACCGGTCAGACACTGGAATTGAAAAGTATAATCTCTGGTGGCCCAGCTAGACAGAGAATTGTTGTCGATGACAGTGGACTCCAGCCGTCTGCCGCTGAAACGTTGACGAGCACCGCCACCTGAAACGGGTCGGGTGCAGATGTGCGGGGTTGCATTGACATGCGAATTTGACGGCAGAGGGCTTAAAGTGGTCGCCAATACCACCGAGACTGAGGGAATAGTGTACAATGACACAGCAAAAAAAACCGCGGATACGAGGGCAATAGCCCGCCTCTGATCAGAGGAAGATTGGTACGAGGCCGAAGCCTGTCTCAGTAAAGAGACGGTGTGGTACGAGGCATAAGCCTTCCTCATGGAGGATTTTTGGTGCGCATAGAAGGCGACGGCAAATAATAACATGTATAAGACAAGCACTGAGAAAAGTCGAATCAGCTGGGTCATACAAGAATAAATAAATACGCACTCGGATGTACGTTCACAGGTATCGAACGAGGTACTATAGTTCCCCGCAACCATAATCGTACAGTCGAAGCCATGTAGGAGTGGTCTGTGAAGGCGATAGAGCGGGAGACAAAGATGAAGTGGTGGTGAGAGACAAAAGACGTGGCAACTGATATGTGACGTTACAAGGTGACCAAAGTGACCGCACGATCCGAACCGATATCCACAAGGTATTTATGCGACGAAGCGAAGCGATGCCATCAATTCAATCCTTGCTCAACGCTACCACCTCCTTTTCTTTGCTTTGGACCGTAAAGGTTCCATGCGCGATGAAAACACAGGTTTATCCTCAGACGAAGATAGTCTGAGTGCTTCCGATTCTTCCATGTCCATCCCCAACGTGTCGCCCAGCTCGGAAGTCGTTACTCGGTTTTGGAAATGGGTAGCCGAAGTGACCGCGCGATACCACGATGCAGACCACAAGCTGGTCTGCAGTTCAGAGCTCAAAGATTGGATAAAAATCAACCAAGAGGTGAGCACTTTGGCTTTACACAATAGCGAACAAGCTAGCTCAATTATTTATCCTGCAATTTAGCCCTGCTTGAAATGCAGGAACAGCAAGACAAAGCGCGTCTGTATTCTAGATGATGACAGCGCAAGTTGTAAACCATGCAGGGAAGCCAAGATTGGCTGCGACAGGAAGACACGGTTCCTATTCGACGTAACAAAGGACGAATTCTTTCCAACCTTGGATCAATTTATCGACGCCTACCGGAGCCGAGAACCTGGGAGGCTCAGAAGATTCAACAGACAGGACTCACCTCGGGTCATACGCAAGCACAATCCCGTCCAGGCGCCTACTCGTTAGTCATTTCTAATCGTCGGGCATTTGCAGCACTTAAATAGCTCGCATCTCTGGCATTCTAGGCGCTAATCCTCGTCAAGGGAACACTCAGATCGATAAGTCCGTGCGGACCTCAGACGGCAGCTTCACTGTTCTCCATGAGATGCATCACCTGCGCGCTAGAACTGCGCAACTGGAAGCAGTGAACCACTATCATTCTGGTACAGCGTCTATCTCTTCACATCCCCTTATACGAACCTTATAATTGAGCAGTCAATGCACCTCAGACTACCCAAAACTGACCCCCCTAGGGGCAGTTGTTACATGGAGAATGACCGGCCCTAGGGGGGGTGTTTTTGAGTGGGTATCCCACATAATGTGGGACACCCCGACCATATAGCAAAAGTGGTGTGGGCCTTCCCTCACCGATTATTTGTGGGACATCCCACCCGCCGCAGGCGGGCCCGAAAAATTTGCAGGGATGGCCCATTGCCCAAATTTGCAGCAGGACCCCAGACACCTGGCCTGCTATAAAAGTGCGGTTCGGGGCGCCTGCAGCCGGAAAAAAGCTGCATTTTGGGTGAATTTGGTGCAGACCGTATGTGCACAGCTGCAGTGTGTCCAGTGCTGCGTCCAGTGCTGGCTATTGTGCGCCTGCGGCCGGAATAAAATGCAGCTTTTGGGGCCGAATTGCACGGAAATAGCAGTGGTATGGGTGGCTTGTATCGCTAGGTATTGGCTGCCAGATGTTGCGTCCAGGCTGGTGCAGCTCGGCTGCACATCCAGCCGCTGCCAGCATGTCCACGCCACCGCCGGTGGGGATCAGGTGAATGGTGGTGCGCTGGTAGCACATCCAGCCGCTGCCGACGGGACTGGGCCATGGTAGCACGTTCAGGTCCCCGCCGGCGGGATTAGGCGACGGTAGCACGTTCAGGTCCCCGCCGGCGGGATTAGGCGACGGTAGCATGTTCAGGTCCCCGCCGGCGGGATTAGGCGACGGTAGCATGTTCAGGTCCCCGCCGGCGGGATTAGGCGACGGTAGCACGTTCAGGTCCCCGCCGGCGGGATTAGGCGACGGTAGCACGTTCAGGTCCCCGCCGGTGGGATTGGATGACGGTAGCACGTTCAGGCCGCCGCCGGTGGGATTGGGCGATGGTAGCACGTTCAGGTCCCCGCCGGTGGGATTAGGCGATGGTAGCACGTTCAGGCCGCTGCCAGCGGGATTAGGCAACGGTAGCACGTTCAGGCCGCCGCCGGCGGGACTATCAAATCCCCGCACAAAAAAAAAGTGTGACAGTGTCACAGGTCCATGGGCTGTCCCACATTCTCCAAGTCTGGGATGTCCCAGGTTGCAGTGGGCTGGCCCACACAGACGAGGGATGTCCCACACAGCTGGCCTGATACAGGCGGGACATCCCTTCCACTTGTTGGGATGTCCCTTCTATTCGCTGGGATGTCCCTCCAAAATGCAGGGAAAAGGTGGGACAGCCCATCTATTTTTCTGGTCAAGGATGGGATGTCCCACCAAGTTACATGGGACATCCCATTCAATTTCTACTCTAACTCAAGGGACATCCCAGATGTGCTACGGGACGTCCCAGGTATTTTTGCCTTTCACTGTGGGACATCCCATTACCTTCTGCACAAAAGCATGGGATGTCCCTCCCAGGTTTTGATTCACATATGGGCTATCCCAGTCCCTTCTGTGGTATTCGCTGGGACATCCCACATCTTATTCTTTCACTGCAAACCCAAAACACTAAGACAAGAAACACTCATTACTCTAGTCAAATTCGTGTTAATGCCACGACTCATATTTTCCAAAACATTATTTACTGGTCTTCTGTGTTACAAATTAACTGTAATGAAAGCAAAAACACTACCATCGAAAAAAAGAGATGTACTTTCTTTTCAGTGGTTGCGGCAGGATTCGAACCCACAACATCCGCTGGCTTGTTGCGCAAGTACACTAATTGGGATAGTGTACTGCACAACAAGCTAGAGCGGAGGTGTTACCATTACACCACGCACCCGATGGAAAAGGGCACGGTCAGTAGATGTACACGCACACTGTGTTCAGCGGTTCAGAAAAAATAAAAAAATGTTAATCGTTTCAATGCGAGACATGACTGAGGTGGGATTTGAACCCACAACATCACCATAAAAGATTCAGACGAGATTTCAATCTTTGGCGACAATGTAACCATTACACCACTCAGTCGATACAGATGGTTAATGACAAACATGACACATTGGGCAGGCATGCGGTACTTCGAAAGAAAAAAAAACCCCCTCTGAGTTTGTGATTCTAAACGTGTAGTTCTACGAAAAAAGCCTATGTTGTCAGCTTAAGGCTGAGGTGGGAATCGAACCCACAACCGCCGCGAAGTACGGGTAAAGAGAGCATGTATATTTCGCGGATGTGTAACCACTACACAACTCAGTCTATGCCAATCCTCCACCCAACCATTTCACATTCAGAAAGTATGCAGTACTGTTTTTTTTTAAAAAAAACCTCCGAAGTCGCGATTCTAACTAACGTGTAGTTTTACGAACATAAACATCAACTCTTTATCTATTCCAGTCCAAAAACCTCACGGTATTGTCCCAGGTCTAAAATTAAGGTCAGTAAAGCCAATGATAGATAAACTGTGCAACGCACGGGGGATGCGGAACCACGCCTCTGAGTGTTCACCGTCGGATGCGTGTTCTAAGGAAAGCATGAGCAATGAGAAGAGGAAAAAAGTGAAAGCAGGACTTACGGAAATTACGCTCAGGGTGGCATGTACACACGCCCGGTTGCGCCAACAGCACAAAGGCAAAAGGACTAGCACTAGTAGCTGCAATAAGTGTTCAGTGGGAAAGAAGGGCAAAGGAGATAGAAGGATACACATACCATGCTCAGCTCGGCTAGTCTCCACGCGTTCCCGAACAGATGTCTGAACCGACGCACGCGATCTTCCCTTCTTCGTGCGACGCCGCCCGTAACGCCGATCAAATGGTGAGGGAGGAAGCTTGGGCAGTGTCTTCAGAGAGCGGCGTGCAAAAGTCATGGTGAGTGATGATTCTCAACCAGCGGATTTGAGGTGTACCTTTATACCCTCTCAAAGCCACCCATAGTGGCCACGACTCCTTTCATCCAACAATGGCCGCGCATTGTTCTTCGTTTCCGGCAACTACAGAAGCGTTACAACCCTCCGCGACCGACCGAAGATCGGGCGAGGGTGCCGAGCATCGAATCCACAGACAAAATGTTCCCGTTCGTAGTGCGTAGTGATGTTCAAGGCCCGGCCTCAAGCCCTGAGCCGACCAAGCCGGGCCAGGGCTTGAGCAAGCCGGGCCGGGCCCGACGCAGGGCTTGAGCGGGCCCAAGGCTGCCTGAAAAATGTCAGGCCCTGGGCTTGGGCTTTGAAGCCCGGCGGTTTAATCCTATTTGAAAGTCGCTTTATGGCTTGTTTCCGAAGGGGAGGCTGACCAGTATCATTGCAGAACATACACAGAACGTTTTGAAGACCCACAAGTGCGCGTAGGCAAGTATTCAGACCAAAATATTACAAGCCCGAGAAAGCCCGGGCCTGGGGCTTGAAGCCTTGGTCGCGGGCTCGGGCTTGGGCTTCAGAAATCTCAAGCCCAAGCCCGCTGAAGCCGTGCCCAAGCCACGGCTTTCAGGCCAAGCCGGGCCCTGAACATCACTAGTCTACTATCTGGATGCTGAAACCACAAAAGTGATGTGTTGTCCTTCCGTTCACCCTGGTTGTTAAGCATGTCATATAAAACAAACCTCCGCAATGTACTAGTAAGTCAACCCAATTGAAACTATTTTCTTGGGGATCAGATGGATAGTGGCCCGGGGCCCTGCCGTGACAAGCGGGCTACTAGATTATATACATATAACCCGCTACTCTGAAGAGTCAGTGATATTAACCCCCTTCAAATGCGACGGGGAAGACGCATGCGACGCGGTGGTGCGCAGCATAATCGCGGTGCCGTCCCGACCTGCCTCGCGACCCTGGGAGTTGTTGAAGTTCGGGACGGTGACGAGCTCCCCGTTGTTCGAGAGGATCGCGCGCAGCTCCTGGCGCGTGATGAGATGGTCCATCATCGTCTGCCAGCCTCCATCAGCGTCGAGCGCGGGGGCGAAGCAAATGCGAGACGCACATGGGTGTAAATCCGCCCGATCGGGAGCGCGAAGATCGCCAGCATGTACGTTCCGGGCGCAAATCGGAACGTGAAAAGTGTACCCAGGGCGAAGACGGCTGAACTGCGTTTTAGGTCTCATTGCGATTGTGAGAATGGGAACAGACTCGCCGGTGAAGGAGCCAGATTGAACGGCGGTTCGAATCAGGCGATTGAGAACCTTGTCTGTCCGCTTGAAGGACGTCTTGGATTTCGAGAAGATCCAGGTCAAGATGCCTACAATAACGGCGTCAGTTCAGTGTGTGAGCCGCGCCGAAAGGCAGAGCTCTCACCGGCGATGAGCACATCGAGGGCCATCTGGAATGAAAGATTTGCCTCCACGATTGGCTGGATCGCGGCGACCTTCACAACGCTGCGGAGGTCGAGGACGTCAGTCGCAGGCCCGCTGAGTTATAAGGTACACATGCTCGGAAAATATCCACGATTGGATCGAGGCTGCAAGGCCCATCCCAAACGTCGCCACTAGAGTCACAAAGAGAAACCCTGTGAGAATCTTATTTTTGGTGAATGCGTATATTCTCCAGCTCTGGAACGATTGATTGATTATCGCGAGAATAGCAGTAACTGCGAAAGTAAGCTCCAATGCGGAGTGTAGGAGGAGGAGGGTCTCTTACCCATGGCCGTGAAAGAATACGGCCATAGAGCTTCTGATTAAGAGAAATAAATTCAGTCGGGCTTCAAGTAGGGGGGAAAAACTCCTCACGCGTAATAACCGCAGGGTTCGCAAAGTTTCTGAGAACAAATCATGGGTTGATTCACCAGTTTCGTCAAGTGGGGATCACTCACGCAACACAATAAAACCTGACCAGCACCACGGAAATATCAGACTATATTCGCCGACACCAGGAGGGTACTTACCATAACATGTATACAAGTGAGCCAGCCTGGGTAGCGTTTAGAATGAAAAGAAAGGCCACCATGGCTCTGGAAGGAATCAGGATGGAATGTGGCCGAGAAAGCTCGGGCGTACCTGGTCCACAAAGGATCGTCGTAGTCTGAATCATACGCGTCGGTTCTGCACTTGCGTGCGTCTGAGCAGGAGATGAACGCACCGGACAACCAGTATGTCCAGAACTGGGACATGATCACGCCCATTAAATACGTGTTGACTGGGATGCGGGCTGAGTATGTTTGAGCGCGAAGAAATGATAAGCAAACTCACTGAGCACTCCGAGCAACGTAGCGCCTGAAAATGATAAGCCCGCCATTCCAGAGACGGTCGCGTAGAGGCAGGCAGCAAATCACGAACCAATGGTCTCATCGAACTGCCCCATAGCCAGTAGGAAATGAGATGTTATGGGGAGAGACTCAGGGAAGGGCGCGGGGAAATTATTGAGTGAGGACTTTAAGACTGCCTCACATACGACCCGAACTGCCGTACACAGGGGGCGTCGAGCAGATTTTGTGGCGATAATTTAGGGCGTGATCCGTGGACGACGATAGACAATGATGAAAACACTGTACGAGTCGAATTAGCTGGATGTCGCAAAGACCGCTGGCGCAGGCTTTCACACTTGCAATCCCAGAGTTTATGAGCTCGGTCCTGGCCGGAAAACAAAATGATCTCAAGATTGTCGCCGTCATGGATCCACATGCCAACTGGGTAAAGTTATAGGCCGCTACGCGGACTTGGCTGATGCTGCTAGCGCGCTTTTTATTTGGCCAAGCTCAATGCGACGAAATGAGGCCTAGGACTGGCGCAAGGCTTGGTCTCATACTCAAGAGCAGACCCAAGCCCTCATCGGAAGATTCAGACTTGGTTCAGACTGTTCAGTGAGAAAGAGAGAATCGTACACCAGTGTGACTCTCGGGCATGTACCTTGGCACCTGTCATAGGGTCCTAATAAGTAGACTCCTATCAAGCAATCTCCTCGACATCTGGACATCGGCCCGACCACAATAGCAACCGCGGGAACAAAAATCGGATTACTTACACATGAGCAACACCTTGGCAACACACGACAACTTGCCAGTGGTTGAAAGACTGGGATTGAAGGGAAAAGAGGGATGGAAAGGATATATGACAGTCTAAGTACAGACTGGGTCGACTGTCGTAGCAAAATGAACGCGATAAGTACCACACGGCGGAGCATTAGGACCGTACCACCGTGCGTGTGTGTAGCTCAACACCTGTTGTAGTAGTCACAGGTTAGGTACGACGTAAGCCTGCCTTCGGTGGTCGCGGAAGGATCAACAAAGTGCGGGACTAAGCCACCACAAATTTCGGTAGCGTTCGCCAAGCAGGGGTCGGCGCATTCGAAATTGTTGGTGGACTCCCATCCAGGAGGCTGCAGACCCCCCTTCTCCACTAGATCGCAATCTTCGCCTCAGGAGTCAGCGAAATTGGATCCAGAGAAACATGAGAGACACGTACAGCATTCCTGCGGAAAATGAGATGAGTGAATTGTTTGTTGCGCAAGTAAGAGGAATCACCTGGCCGGCCTCCAAAGCCGCGGCGTTGTATCCAGCCGCCTCGCATCCGTCGAGGCACCGTTCCACAGTCATTTGCTCTCCAAGAATCGGTGTTAGTGGTCCATGGGGCAGGAGACGTGGGCCCAAAGGAAAGAGCTCGCTGTGTGCGGATCGTTGAGCTTTATTCACTTAGAATGATAGAATACGCACTTCATGCATCCCCACCATTGCCAGCGTTTATATTCGAATACAAGGGCTGGTGGTCCTGTAGTGAAGGGCGTGTCGGCAAACTGGTACAGATTGAGCGCCTTAGGCCCGCCGCAAACTTCAGAGCTGTTCCCAGAGCAGGGCATATCGCACGCTTGTGACGTGCCGTATACATACAGAAGCGCATTTCCGCAATCTGTAACTGGTCAACACAAACGGTGAAGATGATGGGTTGAGGACGCACAGCATTCGTCCCCAAATTCGACGCCGCCGAGTATGTATCCACCCGCCGCGCACGAGTCTAGGCAGGTCTCCACCGTCACATCCGGCGAGGCCACTGCGACGAGGTGCTTCAACGCGCGCGGAAGCGCTATCTCTGCAGACTTGTTCAGATGAAGAATACAACCAAGCGAAAAACGAATGACCCCTGGCAGCCAATTGAATTCCATTCTTTGTATACAAGTACGGTACTGGGGCCCTGAATTTTTCGGTTAGAATAAAAGCACTTGTCGCAGCCAAGTCGCAGCAGTCCTTACATTTTGGGCAAATACCACCTGAGCTATGGCGAGTGCAATTGCGACTGCACGTCGGTAGACAGCCATCTGGATGGTGGCAACAAATTCGCCGAAA